CAGAGGGTGGCCGCAGTCCTCCTTGCCGATAAAAATCCTGTTTGTGGGGGCCGGAACTGTGGCGTAGTGGGCTAAGCCTCGGTCCCGGCTGCTCCAATCCGATCCAGCTCCCTGCTATTGCACCAGGGAAATCACAGAAGATGGCCCAAGTTCTTGGGTCTCTGCACCCACGTGGGAGACTTGGAAGAAGCTCCTAGCTCCTGGCTTTGGTCTGGCCCAGCCCTGGCCTTCGTGGACATTTGGGGAGTGAACCAGCAAATGAAGATTTCCTCTCCCTCTGTCTCTCCCTCTCTCTGTAATCCTGCCTTTCAAACAAATAAAATAAATCTTGAAAACATTAATGATCGTTAAACTCATAGATCAAGGAAATATTTTAGACACAGTAACTGGCATCTTGATGACAGCAAGGTTTCTCACGAAGTCCTTGTTGCTAAGGTAGAGAGAAACATGATGGATCCACGGGCCCATTCGGGTAACTGGAAGACAGAAGAGCGCTTCTGTCCGCTTGGGAGAGGTGTCTGGTAGCTTACCGAAGTGCACAGTGCTTGCCCTTTCAGTGACGTGCAGAGATATAGAAGGCATACTTACCAGATTTGCAAGTGATACGACGCTGGGAAGAATGGCTAATCCAGTGTATGAAATATTCATGATTCACAGCTATCTCCACAGGATAATATTGAGTTGAGATAAAAAAAAGAATCAACTGGGGCCGGTGCTGTGGCACAGTGGGTTAATCCTCTGCCTGCAGCACCAGCATCCCATACAGGCGCTGGTTCTGGTCCCGGCTGCTCCTCTTCTGATCCAGCTCTCTGCTGTGGCTTGGGATGGCAGTAGAAGATGACCCAAGTCCTTGGGCCCCTGCACCCACACAGGAGACCCAGAGAAGGCTCCTGGCTTCGGATTGGCGCAGCTCCGGCCATTGCGGCCATCTGGAGAGTGAGCCAGTGCATGGAAGACCTCTCTCTCTGTCTCTGCCTCTCTCTGTAACTCTGTCTTCCAAATAAATAAATCTTTTTAAAAAATGAATCAACTACAGAGAATAAGATATGCACCTTAGCCATAATGCATATAGGAATTTCGATGTGAGCCCACAGAGGAACATGGATGTCAAAATGCTGGTGGACACTTGGCCAGCATGGACAAGCAAAAGACGTAACAGTTTCCTGGGTTGCCTAGACCCTGTGTGGAGTTCACCACAGGGGAAGAGGAAACAATTGGAGATGTTAAAGAACATCGGTAAAAAGGGTGATAAAAACCACTAGTAAAACCCAGAAAACTGAACTGCGGCTTCTTCACGCCACTTTTGTACCTCAAGTCCCAGCTCACCGTCCACGACAGGAAGTGGCTCTCCACCCGTGTCCTGTGGGCCTCTCTCCTTAGGACTTTCAGTACCATCTCACTTTGTGGCTGATCAACACTGCAACGCCTGTGTCTCAGCTCCCGGGGAGGACCAAGGCTCCGATGAGCCGTCAGAGCCTCACCCTGTTGCAGAGCTGCAGGGAGCTGGTGTGGGGCTCCGCCCTGTGCCCAGCTCCATCGTTGGGGAGACTGGGTCAGCACCAGTGCCCATGGACGGCTGAGCATCCTGTGTTGTGTTCATAACGCGTGCTTCGCATGCGCGTAGGACTCGCGGTGTTGGCTGAGACGGTGAACTGTCACTCTAACAGAAAGGGGTATTCTGACGCCACATCCGGATGCCTTTTCCGCTGCTTCTCATCATTCATCTTAGTCCTTCAGAGTAGAACCAAGGACTTGGTGCTGTCACTGCACCCATCCCCACCCCCACAGGTAAACTAGGGCAAACACAGGACAGAGGCCTGGCTAATGTTTGCCAAGCGACTAACGATTGTTTCCATCCTTTTTTTTTCTTTTTCTTTTTTTTGACAGGCAGAGTGGACAGTGAGAGAGAGAGACAGAGAGAAAGGTCTTCCTTTGCTGTTGGTTCACCCTCCAATGGCGCGCTACGGCCAGCGCCCCGCGCTGATCCGAAGCCAGGAGCCAGGTACTTATCCTGGTCTCTCATGCGGGTGCAGGGCCCAAGCACTTGGGCCATCCTCCACTGTACTCCCTGGCCACAGCAGAGAGCTGGCCTGGAAGAGGGGCAACCAGGACAGAATCCGGTGCCCCAACCGGGACTAGAACCCAGTGTGCCGGCGCCACAGGCAGAGGATTAGCCCAGTGAGCCGTGGCGCTGGCCCATCCTTTTTTTTTTTTTTTTTAAATGACCAGCTGTAGTAAATCTTTGTGATTTACCACTGAACAAGGCAGTTATCAAACAAAACATCTTATGTACAAATTCAGTGTTCTATAAGAAGTCTAATGCACAGTGTAGAGCCGAGGAGGAATGGGGTCCCCTGTGGTATATGGGGATTTCAAACCAGAGGTCTCTGTAGCATCAGTAACTTGGACACCTCTCAGGAACTCTGCAAATGTACCACAGCTTACTTCACACTCCCCTTTCCAATCTCTACTAGACTTCGAGAAGCTAACAGAAATACAGTCTAGGGGCCGGCGCTGTGGCTTAGCAGATAAAGCTGCCACCTGCACAGCCAGCATCCCATATGGGCACCAGTTCGAGTCCCGGCTGCTCCTCTTCCAATCCAGCTCTCTGCTATGACCTGGGAAAGCAGTAGAAGATGGCCCAAGTCCTTGGGCCCCTGCACCCACGTGGGAGACCCGGAAGCTCCTGGCTCCTGGCTTCAGATTGGTGCAGCTCCGGCTGTTGCAGCCATCTGGGGAGTGAACCGACCGATGGAAGTTTGCTCTTTTTCTCTCTGCCTCTCTGTAACCCTGCCTTTCAAATAAATTAATTAATTAAAAAAATGCAATCTAGTTACTACTCTGGATAAAACCAGACACTCACAGAGTTTTAAAGCTGAAGGAGTTTCCACTTGTTGAAGACAGTATACACCCTAAGCAAATATTACCTTAAAAAAGGGGCGGGGTCAGTGCTGTGGCGCAGAGGGTTAAAGCCCGGGCCTACAGCACTGGCATCCCGTATGGTTTCCTGACTGATCCACTTGCGATTCAGCTCTCTGCTGTGGCCTGGGAAAGCAGTGGAAGATGGCCCAAGTGCTTGTGTCCCTGTACCCACGTGGGAGACCCAGAGGAAGTTCCTGGCTCCTGGCTTCAGATCGGCACAGCTCCAGCCATTAAGGCCATTTGGGGAGTGAACCAGCAGATGGAAGACCTCTTTCTCTCTCTCTCTTCCTCTCTATCTGTCTCTACCTGTCTCTGTAATTTTTTCAAATAAATAAAATAAATCTTCAAAAAAAAAGTTGAACATTTCATCTGAAAAGGACCATGGAGATTATCCATTTGCTTTACAGATGAGAATAAAGTGAACATTCATTCAAGATCCCAATAAAACTGGGCTGCAGAGCCAGATTCTCAGCCCAGCGCTCATTCAATGGTTTAACCTGAGGGAGCATCTCTGAGCTCAGTGCTTCAGAAAGTAGATAAAAATATGAAACGCGTCTGTAAAGCTGAGGGTCTTCTTTTCCCCCTTGCATTCTCAGAAGTGAAAGATAAGTGATTTCCAGTCCTAGGAGGAAGGGGGCTGCCTCCACTGGTCACCTCCTGTCTCCCGAGGATTTAGGCAAGCTCTGTTCTGAGAAGCATACAGACGCACAGTGGCGTCAGCTACGTAAAATCTGACTTGGCAGGCCAGCGCCGTGGCTCACTAGGCTAATCCTCCGCCTAGCGGCGCCGGCACACCAAGTTCTAGTCCCAGTCGGGGCGCTGGATTCTGTCCCGGTTGCCCCTCATCCAGACCAGCTCTCTGCTGTGGCCAAGGAGTGCAGTGGAGGATGGCCCGAGTGCTTGGGCCCTGCACCCCATGGGAGACCAGGAGAAGCACCTGGCTCCTGCCATCGGATCAGTGCGGTGTGCCGGCTGCGGCGGCCATTGGAGGCTGAACCAAGGGCCAAAGGAAGACCTTTCTTTCTGTCTCTCTAACTCTGCCTGTCAAAAAAAAAAAAAAAAAAAAAAAAAAAGGAATCTGACTTGGCTACATTTTTGTGACCCCCCCCCCCCATGTCTCCCTCCATCCTTCGATGACCACCATGGTCTCTGAGAAAGGCCTCAGCCCAGAAGTGGTCTGCTCCATCCACCTTGTTCCACCCATCAGTGGCAGCGAGGTGAGGCTCAGAGGCAAATGCGAATTTACGTTTGGCACTAACCACTTTGGGGGGAAAGAAGTACTTCCCCCTTTCGAGAAGGAACGCCAGTGTGGTCTGAAAGACAACACGGAGGGGTGGCCACTGTGGCGCAGCAGGTTAAACCACTGCCTGGGGACACTCCATTCCACACTGGAGTGCCTGGTTTGAGTCCCAGCTACTCCACACTTGGGGCCCTGGGAGGCAGCAGGTGATGGCCCCGGGACATGGGTCCCTGCCACCCACGTGAGCGACCCGGATGGAGTTCTCAGGGCTTAACCTTGGTCTCTTGGTTAGGGACATCCGGGGAGTGAGCCAGCAGATGGAAGATCACACTCTCTCTGTCACTATGCCTTTCAAATAAATTAAAAAAAAAATTTTTTTAAGACAACACCAGGGGCCAGCGCTGTGGTGTAGCACCACCTGCAGTGCCGGCATCCCAAATGGGCAATGGTTCTAGTCCTGGCTGCTCCACTTCCGATCCATCTCTCTGCTGTGGCCTGGGAGGGCAGTAGAAGATGGCCCAAATCTTGGGCCCCTGCACCCACGTGGGAGACCGGGAAGAAGCTCCTGGCTCCTGGCTTCGGATGGGTGCAGTTCGGGCCAATGCAGCCATCTGGGGAAGTGAGCCAGCGGATGTAGGATCTCTCTCTGCAACTCTGCCTTTCAAATAAGTAAATATATATTTTTTTAAAGACAACACCGACTTCCGGACCCCAAACACCAGGCACCCTAACACAGGGTCACACAACTGAGGAGCCCACAATGCCAAGCGCCTCCGCCAGCCCTGCGACACGGGTGCGGCGGCGGCCAGGGCCAGCCCGGCCTCACCCACCCACCTACCTAGCGGGCTGGGGAGGCTCCTTGAGGTCCCTGGGGATGAGGTTATAGATGCTCTCCGAGGAGCACGCGGAATCCATGGCCACCGAGCGCCGCCTCCGCCGTCCTCACCCCACCGGCATCTCCGTCCCGCTCGTCACCGCTTCCCCTCGGCTCTCTGGCTCCCCGGCCTGCTCCCGAGGACCCCCAGGTCACAGCTCCCCGCGCCCCCCGCGTCCGAGCGGTCCCCTCCTCGCCCTGCCCTGCCGGATGGCGGCGCGTGGTTGACGACCGGTTGCCGTGGAAACGGTTGCTAGGCGACGGCAGAGCGGAAAGGCGGCGCTCCGAGCCGGGTTGCCCGCTTCACCTCTTCCGGCTACGCCTTCCCCCGCCTGGGGCGCTTACTCGGAAGCCGCTGTTGACCCGTGCCTTTGAGGCCAACGGGATGAACACGGTATCTTATAGAAGCTTCCGTTCTTTTCCATCTCCACAGAGATGGAGTGCGGACGCGCACCCACTGCGCAGGCGTCACGCTATCAGGCTCTCGTGCGCAGGCGCCAACCGCGACGGGGCGGGGCGCGGGCGGAGCGAGCGGGGACGCCGCGCCGACGTCGGCCAATGAAGAGCGTCAGACGCCACGGGGGAGGAGCCCGTGCGGCCTGGAGGGGAGTCACGTGGCCGGCGGCGGCGCAGGCGCAGAGGCCACCGCGCGGGGGCGCGCCAGGGGCCGGGGCCTGAGGTGCGGGGCTCCGGATCCCGAGGCGGCGCTTGCGACTGTTGGGGACTCGCCTTGCCTTTAGCCGTTCCCTCTCCCCCGCCTGCTCAGGGTGATTTTCTTGGTGAGTTACTGGAGGAGGAAGAGGACAAAGGCTAGGGCCGCGTCCGCCCCCGTCGCATGGCTGTCCCCTCCGTCTGTCCGCTGTTCGGTTGTAACCGCGGTCCTCGGTCCGGCCTCGCTGTCCCTGCGGTTCCGACCCGGTCTGCCCGGAGCCTCCACGCACTGGAGGCTCCCGCGCGCCGCTCCCCCAGCCCCCGCCCCCGCCCTGACCCGTGCACCTGCTGTTTCTAGAAGGAGAGCGAACCCCGGTTCCCCAGGGCCTCGCGCCTCGGTGCCCGTTTCGGGGCGACCTTTTTGGAAAGTTTGCTTCCTGAGAAGCGGTTTGTTGCCGTTTTCCCCCCCCTGAACCGTTGACTCTGCCGTAAACCTGTTTGTGCCTACGTGGAGCTGCTGAGACAGGTGGACAAGCCCTTACCCCGAGCCTCCGAAAGACGTTGGGGTGGCCCCTGGGGGCGGTGATTGGCTGAGCGCACATGGAGGAAGATTGGAGAGCTGTTTCCATGCATGCTAACGTTTTTGAACTAAGGGTCGCGCCATCAGCCATGTGCGTGGTAAGGGACCAATGCAGTTTTCTAATTAGCAAGGATACTTGGGGATTATTTGTGTTAATTGGTTTTTGGAAGAGCTGGCCAGGGAAAGGCAAAGTTAACGAGCTGACCCTAGCTGAGCTTGATTTTTCGGGGATTACTGAAATAGCATTATCTTTTACCGATACCAGTATATGTATTTGTGGCTTTAAAACTGCTAGGTGGAGTTGGCTTAGGGCCTCCTCGCTGCGGTGTGTTTCGTTTGACAGTCATGACGGGGCCGCTGAATCAGGTTTTTCTCTGACGTGTTGACCTGCGGTTCCGCTTGCCTTTTGATAGTTTGTGTAGGCAGGTCGCATTTCTGATTTTTATAATTCCCTAGAATGGTGGTGCTCTCCCAGAATGTTGGTGCGTATCTCTAGGGGTCAGCAGACTTTCTGTGGAGGGTTACTCAGACATCCTCTGCTGCTTTCCCAGGTGCACGAGCAGGGAGCTGGATAGGAAGTGGAGCAGCCGGGACTCAAACCGGTGCCCATGTGGGATGCTGGAACTGCAGGCGGCGGCCTTACCCACTACGCCACAGCACTGGCCCTTCATGAATTTTTTAAATTGTCAAAGTTATGCATTGTGAACTCAAAAAATAAGACACCCTAATGTTACATGCAAAAGCCTCGCATATGGGTGGTGAATCAGGCTGTTATATGCAGTGCCCCCAAAGCAGTGGGTACTGAAGTGAGGCCCCAGAATACACTCAGCAAAATAAGTCGCTAACAGGGTTCACATGTGCAGTGGTCGCAGGTCCTTGGTTTCCTTCAGCGAAGGGATTCACCTGGCGCCGGCACTGTGGCTCACTAGGCTAATCCTCCGCCTTGCGGCGCCGGCACACCGGGTTCTAGTCCCGGTCAGGGCGCCGGATTCTGTCCCGGTTGCCCCTCTTCCAGGCCAGCTCTCTGCTGTGGCCCGGGAGTGCAGTGGAGGATGGCCCAAGTGCTTGGGCCCTGCACCCCATGGGAGACCAGGATAAGCACCTGGCTCCTGCCATCGGATCAGCGCGGTGTACCGGCTGCAGCACGCCGGCCGTGGCGGCCATTGGAGGGTGAGCCAACGGCAGAGGAAGACCTTTCTCTCTGTCTCTCTCTCTCACTGTCCACTCTGCCTGTCAAAAAAAAAAAAAAAAAAAAGGATTCACCTAGCAAAGTGATTGCTGCATAGGTTCTTAGCCCATTATGGTGGAGCGACAGTGATTCGTGTTATAATGTATATTTTTAAAAAACATTTATTTATTTGAAAGAGTTACAGAACGAGAGGCAGAGATAGAGAGAGAGGTCTTCCATCCGGTAGTTCACTCATCAATTGGCCGCAATGGCCAGAGCTGTGCCAGTCCGGAGCCAGGAGCTTTCTCTGGGTCTCCTATGTTGGTGCAGGGGCCCAAGGACCTGGACCATCTTCTACTGCTTTCCAGGGCCATAGCAGAGAGCTGGATTGGAAGTGGAGCAGCCAGGACTCGAACTGGCGCCCTCATGGGATGCTGGCACTGCAGGTGGTGGCTTTACCCACTGCACCACAGTGCCGGCCCAATAATGTATATTAACATGGGTCTGCAGCCACCATGGTACATGCTATGAAGTTCTTAATCATTTCTCCCACATTTTAGGCCCCCAAGTGTGGCAGGTGCTTTGTTTGGCCTTTCACAGTAGGTGCTACCTGCAAATCGGGGAATCCAGACGCTCATTCCATAGCTTCAGGCCACTGATTTTTTTTTTTTTTTTTTTTTTTTTTTTTTGACAGGCAGAGTGGACAGTGAGAGAGAGAGACAGAGAGAAAGGTCTTCCTTTGCCGTTGGTTCACCCTCCAATGGCCGCCGCGGCCGGCGCGCTGCGGCCGGTGCACCGCGCTGATCCGATGGCAGGAGCCAGGAGCCAGGTGCTTTTCCTGGTCTCCCATGGGGTGCAGGGCCCAAGCACCTGGGCCATCCTCCACTGCACTCCCTGGCCACAGCAGAGGGCTGGCCTGGAAGAGGGGCAACCGGGACAGAATCCGGCGCCCCGACCGGGACTAGAACCCGGTGTGCCGGCGCCGCAAGGCGGAGGATTAGCCTAGTGAGCCGCGGCGCCGGCCTGGCCACTGATTTTTTTTCCTCTTCTTGTGTAAATCATTAAAATTTCAGGTGTCATCTGGTCAGTGTTTGGATATGCTATCTTTTATTGATCAGTGGCACAGAGTGCATCAGAGCTGTTTGGTAAATCCCTTCTGTGATGAAACGCTGGGGGAGAAACCCAGGATCTTAGCAGATTTGGAGAAATGCACCTGCGAATGCCCCTTTGAGCTTTCAGGTGGTTTGCCTCCACGCCCGATGCCGTGTGCAGTTATGGTGAACTTGACGTCTCTTCATTGCAGACTCTGCTTTTTGCAAGGATCGGCCCTGCCTCAGATTCAGCAGACTGAAGCAGCTCGTGCGGCTGGAGTTTTCGAGTCAGCGGGAGTGAAGCACCGCGCACAGAAGCTGCCGCCACAGGAGGGAATGAATCGCTCCTCTCCACGTTTCTGATTCTACTTGTAAGTGAAATCCATAGTTAGGGTGCCACGGGTTACATGTTTACTTGTGAAGGAGAGTGCAAGCCACTACTACAATTGAAAGTGCTTGGAACAGAGACAGACCTTTTAATATCAAATATAGGGCGGAGAACAGGAAAAGCCCCCATGGCGTGGCTGTGAAGTTACTCCCGCCAAGCTGGCGAGCGCCGAAGCATTTATTAAACTGTGTCGTCCATGGCTAATGCTTGACTGGTCTGGTACAGGTGCTTGTCTTCATGGAGGGTCTATCTCTAAAGACAGGACCTTGGGGCCGGCACTGTGGCATAGTGGGCTAAGCCTCTGCCTGAGGTGCCAGCATCCTATATGGGCACCAGTTCAAGTTCTGGCTGCTCTTCTTCTGATCCAGCTCTCTGCTATGGCCTGGGAAAGCAGTAGAAGATGGCCCAAGTGCTTGACCCCTGCACCCACATAGGAGACCCAGAGAAAGCTCCTGGCCCTGGACTGGCACAGCTCTGGCCATTTGGAGAATGAGCCAGTGGATGGAAGATTCTCTCTCTCTCTCTCCCCCTCCATCCCCCTCCCTCCCTCCCCCTTTCCCTCTTTCCCTGTAACTCTGCCTCTCAAATAAACAAGCAAATCTTTAAAAGATAAATAAATAAAGACAGGACGGTAATCAGCCTGAGGAGTTGCAGAACTGCTTTGGGTACTGGAATAAGTTTTCCCCTCTGCATTGGAAATGTTCTTGAGTTTCCTGACTGTCTGACCAGGGTCTGGGAGCTGAGTGAAGCCCCTCACTCGTGGTGTTTTAGTACCAGAGTCCCAAGCAGCAGGCTGCATAGGTAAGGCCAAAGATGGGGAGCCGTTGACCTCAGGGCTGGTTATTGATATTGGCAGAAAATGACACCTTTCGCTCCGAGTCTTTTCAAGACCTTTGGCGTGAATAATGTGTGAGCCTGCCCTTTGCAAGTGTGCGTGTGAAAGACACGTAAGAACGCAAATGCCATTCCCCTGTCCTGTGGTTCAGAGTGTTATTTCAGCATTTTATAAACAAAGATTCCTCCATTCTAGTTACCTGTTGTGCGCTCTGCAAGAAGTTTATGCGAAATGTGATGTTCTGTCAGCATGTCACGTAACTAAAGACAAGTTATGTATCAGGAATATTGTTCCGCTTTTGTGACCTGCAAGCAAATGGTACTCCAGTCCCAAATATTCTTCATATGTCACAAACCAATAAGCAGTTTTCATTACAACATCTTATCAAAGGAAAAGGAATAATAATTGGATTTAGTATGTTTTTTAAAAAGCATCCATGATACAGCATTTTCTGAATAAGGTTTCTATTGTTTGTAGTTCCTTTTTTTTTTAAAGTCTTAATTTTACAGTCTCTTGAGATTTGAGGAGACACTATTTCAAAGGATAACATGCAACATCTGATAATTTGAGCTGAGACAGTCTTTCTTATTTTTTTAAAAGATTATTTATGTGAAAAACAGAGTTACAGAGAGGCAGAGAGAGAGAGAGGGTGATCTTCCATCCGCTGATTCCCTCCCCAGCAGGCCACAACGGCCAGAGCTGATCTGAAGCCAGGAGCCAGGAGCTTCCTCCAGGCCTCCCACGCAGGTGCAGGGGCCCAGGACCTGGGACATCCTCCACTACTTTCCCAGGTCACAGCAGAGAGCTGATCGGAAGTAGAGCAGACAGGACTTGAACCGGCGCCCATATAGGATGCTGGCACTGCAGACTGGGGCTTTAACCCACTGTGCCACCGCGCCGGCCCTGAGATAGTGTTTCAAATGTGTCTGTACATTTGGAAGATTCCAGAAGTTCATGTATCGTGACCCTGGCTGTATTCATTCCTGATGTGATTTTAGCAGTGTGGAAGTGAGTAACCAGATGTCTTTTTCTGTTTGTTTCTATGTCTTGCAAAGGGCTAACGCCAGTTCTGGGTTGGCGTGTGCGGAAGCGGGGAGGATGCTTCCCTTCACCCGGTGCCGCTGTCTGAAGCACATAGCACGGGCGTGCTTGTCTGCTGTGCAAGTCAGAATGGGGAAACACGCACGCCTGTGTCTTCCAAGAGCCCTGGGACTTGCAGAATTTGGGAAGTCATGGCATTCCACACACACTCTCATTGGAAACAAAAATATTGTCCTGATGGGGCCTCCGGGTGCCGGGAAGACAACCGTGGGCAGAATCCTCGGGCAGAAGCTCGGGTGCTGTGTCATAGACGTGGATGACGACGTCCTGGAGAAAACCTGGAACATGAGTGTGTCCGAGAAGCTGCGGGACGTGGGTAGTGAGCGGTTTCTAGAAGAGGAAGGGAAGGCTGTGTTGAGCCTGTCCGCGTGTGGAAGTGTGATTTCGCTGACGGGCTCCACTCCCATGCATGACGCCAGCATGTGGCATCTGAAGGAGAACGGGATAGTTGTGTACCTGGACGTGCCTCTCCTGGATATAATTGGCCGTCTGAAGCGAATGAAGGTAGACAGGATTGTGGGTCAGAGTTGCGGAGCACCTATGAAAGACTTGCTTCAGCTGAGACGGCAGTACTACAAGAAGTGGTTCGACACCCGCGTGTTTTGTGAAAGCGGGGCGTCCCCAGAGGAGGTAGCCGACAAAGTGCTGCGCGCAGTCCAACGGTACCAAGACGTGGACTCGGAAACCTTCGTTTCAACGAGGCACGTGGGCCCCAGAGACGGGGAGCGCAAGGTGCCGGCGAAATTCTTCAGTGAGGCCGTGGTTGAGGGCCTGGCGTCTGACGGCGGACTCTTCGTGCCCGAGAAGGGGCTCCCAACAGTGAGCTGCGGGGAGTGGAAGAGCTTGGTAGGCGCGAGCTACGTGGAGAGAGCCCAGATCCTCCTGGAGAGGTGTATCCATCCCGCAGACATCCCCGCCGCCAGGCTGGGGGAGATGATCGAGGCCGCCTACGGGGAAAACTTTGCCTGCTCGAAAATCGCCCCCGTCAGGCACCTGTCGGGCAACCAGTTCATCCTGGAGCTGTTCCACGGGCCGACCGGCTCCTTCAAGGACCTGTCTCTGCAGCTCATGCCGCAGCTTTTTGCCCACTGTATCCCGCCCAGCTGCAACTACATGATACTGGTGGCCACGTCCGGAGACACGGGGAGCGCAGTCTTAAATGGCTTTAGTCGGCTTAGTAAGAATGACCAACAGAGAATAGGCGTGGTCACCTTTTTCCCCGAGAATGGGGTCAGTGATTTTCAAAAAGCACAAATCGTTGGCAGCCAGCGGGAAAACGGGTGGGCGGCGGGCGTCCAGGCGGATTTTGATTTTTGCCAGACGGCCATCAAAAGCATGTTTAACGATTCCGACTTCACTGGCTTTCTCACCGTGGAATACGGGACCACCTTGAGCTCAGCGAATTCCATAAACTGGGGCCGACTGCTCCCCCAGGTCGTTTACCACGCCTCCGCGTACCTGGATCTCGTAAGCCAAGGGTTTATTACTTTCGGAAGCCCGGTCGATGTGTGCATCCCCACGGGCAATTTTGGTAACATGCTGGCAGCGGTCTATGCCAAAATGATGGGGCTCCCTATCCGGAAGTTCATCTGCGCCTCCAACCAGAACCACGTTCTGACCGATTTCATCAGAACCGGACACTACGACCTGCGGGAGAGGAAGCTGGCGCCGACCTTCTCTCCATCGATAGACATCCTCAAGTCCTCGAACCTGGAGCGCCACCTGCACTTGATGGCTAACAAGGACGGGCCGCTGATGGCCAAGCTGTTCCGTCAGCTGGAGGACCAGCATCACTTCCGGATAGAAAGGGTGCTGGTGGAGAAGCTCCAGCAGGACCTGGTGGCCGACTGGTGCTCCGAGGGGGAGTGCCTGGCAGCCATCAGCTCCACCTATGACGCTTCCGGCTACATCCTGGACCCGCACACCGCCGTCGCAAAGGTGGTCGCCGACAGGCTGCAGGACAAAACTTGCCCGGTGATCATCTCGTCCACAGCCCACTACTCCAAGTTCGCACCTGCTGTCATGCAGGCTTTGAAGATCCGAGAGCTCAGCCAGACGTCGTCAAGCCAGCTGCACTTGCTGGGTTCGTACAACGCGTTACCCCCACCGCATGAGGCCCTGCTAGCCAGGACGAAGCAGCAGCAGCAGATGGACTACCAGGTCTGTGCCGCCGACGTGGATGTCCTCAAGAGCCACGTGGAGAAGAGAATCCAGAAGCAATTCGTGTGAAAGTTTTCTGAATAGAACAGAAATTGGTGCCACCCTCCCCCGCCCCAGGGATAAGCGTGCAATAATAAATCTCAAAAGTTGTTTTGAAGTGCTGTAGCCTCTTGCCTTTTGTATCAGGGTCCGTGTCTTACCTGTTCCCTTTGGTAACCTCAGGACTGGACACTACACCTGCTCCGTGCGTCCTTTGATCCGCAAGCTACGCGTGATGAAAGGTAGCACAGGGCACGCGCCTCCTGCCGTCTGCGCTGCTCTCTGCTCGCAGTGTTTGTGTCAGTTTCCACGTCCTCGTCACCTCTTTTAAGTGGACCAGAATGTCTGATATTCAGTTTGGCAATGAAAATAGGGAAGTGTGGTTGATATGGACTACATCTGTAGGAACTAATTAGTTCTCCAGTGACTAGAACGCTAATACGCCACCCACACCCTGGCTAGCTTGGATTAAGGAAGGAGTAAACTCCTTGGTTAAGCCTATGCCAGTGCTTCTAACCCTTCTCAATCCCATTTTAGTCTAACATCTTATCCCACAAGTGCTCTGTCCGTCACTCTCCCTCGGGTCCATATGATTACAGTAATGAAGTTTGGAAATCAAGACCATCTAAACCCAGAATGTGACAGCGCCGTTATTTTGCAGTGGTTACAGAAGTAAAAGTGCTTACCCATTTCAATTTTCCAAAATTGAGTATTTCACTGGTTTTAATAGAACTGCGCCTATACTTCTTCCAACAGCAGGTTTCCCATGTTGGAGTCCACTTCTGTACAGCTTGTCTTATTTCCGTGCACATGTGTCTTTTTGGCAGCTGAAACCACATGCAAGCGGTGCACATATTTCATGTATGTTCTTTTTCTAGTCACAGCCCACTTCAACCATGGTTTATGTGTGTGCATTCACTGGATGACTTACGTCTGAATTCAAGGTGATCCCTGAGAGGACCCATCTGTGCGATGGACTCTTCTCGACCACCGGACAGTGTTCTGTGTGCTCTGTCTTTGCTGATAACGAGTACTCTGTTGTTCTGGGGAACTACAGTCCCGGCTGGTCTGCTTCCCTTTCAGCTCCCTGCCAGTGGCCTGGGAAAGCAGCCGAGGGTGGCCCAGGTGTTTGGGCCCCTGTGCCCACGTGGGAGACCTGGATGAAACTTTAGCTCCTGGCTTCAGCCTGGCTCGGCTGTAGCCATTGTGGCAATTTGAGGAATGAACCAGCGGATGGACAGTCTTTGTGTGTTTCACCTTCTCTCTAACTGTGCCTTTCAAATACATAAATAAATCTTTAATAAGTTTTTTTAAAAAAAAACTTGAATGATAGAAAATTTAATCGTATATTAAGTAGGAGCAGTTTGTTTAAAAGAGTTTAAAAACTCTTTTAAATGTGTAAACATCAACTCTCCGACATGGCTTCTAAAAGGCAGGTTCTAAAACCTAAAGCAGGAGCAGGAGCAGTTAGAAGAAAGCAGTGGGAAGTTCGAAGTTGTGCACCTGTTCCTGTCCGTCTTTTCGTCGTTTTACGGGTTTCAGTAGATGCTGAGTGTGCCGTGTGCGTGAGAATACAGGGCTTTTCTGTAAGTGGACGGTAAACCATGTACAAGATGAGTGGCTCCCGCATGGCATGTGGAACATGACTGTCAGGGAAGCCCCCCCGACCCCCCCCCCCCGCATCCCGAGGATGCGGGACCTGAGGCGCGTCTTGGAGGATGGGAAGACTTTGTGGGTAAAAAGGGAGAGGAAGCTGGAAGGGGAGATGTCCGAGGGTCCGCCTGCAGGTGTCAGCTTGCCACTTCACCGTCCCAGATGGTATTGTACGTCTGCAGGCCGTGGCGTTCCGCTGATGGCCTCCCTCCGAGAGACGCAAGTCACCGTCTGCCATCCCTCCTGCCCCATCAAGCGTTTGAGCCCAGCCCTTGTGCAGCAGGTGCTGTGCCCCTCCTGTCTAAGGCCGGTCTCCTCAGAAGTGCCCTTCAGCCTGCTCGGCCTCGTGGGCATCTCCCCTCCCAGGGAACGTGGCCTCAGGGCGCTTAGATGCCCTTTCTGTTAGAAAACAGAAGAGCCTGATCTCCCCCAGGGCCCACGTTTTCCCCCCAAGTACTCCTTCCATAAAGAATCGTTACTGCAGCCGCCCCTCGCTCCAGTGTGCAAGCAATGCAGTTGAAGGGCGAGCAGTAATTACCTAAGTCCTCGCTCACTCTGTTACAGTAGCACGGCACACATGCTCTGATGGTGTTCACGTCTTTCCTCCATGAGTAACTGCTACCCTAAATTTTCTGTCAATCAGTCCCCTTTCAATAGCTTCGCATTGTTTCATTTTGACTCTAAATTTTATACAAATGGAGTCATACTGTGTTATTCCAAGATTTATTTATTTATTTATTTTTGACAGGCAGAGTGGACAGTGAGAGAGAGAGAAAGGTCTTCCTTTGCCATTGGTTCACCCTCCAATGGCCACTGCGGACGGCGCACCGTGCTGATCCGAAGGCAGGAGCCAGGTGCTTCTCCTGGTCTCCCATGGGGTGCAGGGCCCAAGCACCTGGGCCATCCTCCACTGCACTCCCTGGCCACAGCAGAGAGCTGGCCTGGAAGAGGGGCAACCGGGACAGAATCCGGCACCCTGACCGGGACTAGAACCCGGTGTGCCAGCGCCGCAAGGCGGAGGATTAGCCTGTTGAGCTGCAGCGCCGGCCCCAAGATCTATTTATTTTACTCAGAAGCTTAAAAATTCACTCCTCTAGGGCAATTAAGCCACAGTTCATTTTATTTTAAAAGATTTATTTATTTATTTTGAAAGAGTTACACAGAGAAGGAGAAATAGAGACAGAGAGGTCTTCCATCCACTAGTTCGCTCCCCAACTGGCAACAGCAGCCGGAACTGTGCTTATCCAAAGCCAGAAGCCAGGAACTTCTTCCAGGTCTCCCATGTGGGTGCAGGGGCCCAAGGACTTGGGCCATCCTCCGCTGCTTTCCCAGGCCGTAGCAGAGACTTGGATCAGAAGTGGAGCAGCCGGGACTCGAACTGGTGCCCATATGGGATGCTGGCACTGTAGGCGGCGGCTTTACCCTCTGTGTCATAGCACTGGCCCCGCCACAGTTTTATTTTTAAAAATCACTAAATAATAATCTTGTGTGTGAATACTGCCATCCATATTTTGGCCATTTGACACTTAAATTGTCTAATTTTTGTCTTGTTTCTAGCCGATACACAATTTTGTAAAATTCCTGCTGAAGGTCAGTGAATATGGACTTTTCAACATTTGTGACTCTAATAGTGCATAATTAGTTTTCATATCTTAAAAATGTTAGGTTTATGAAGTAAAAAAGATATCAATTCTCAGGCTATGGTTATACTTTCTACTTTAAAATTATTTTACATAATCATAATATGAATTTGTAAAATTTTTTAGGAAGATTTTCCAGCTATATTTTTTGGAAAGTGGGAGATATGTTTACATCAAAATAGAGTTTAGAAGACAGCAAATTGGCCAGCTCCGTGGCTCACTTGGTTAATCTTCTGCCTACGGCGCCGGCATCCCATATGGGCACCAGGCTCTAGTCCCGGTTGCTCCTCTTCCAGTCCAGCTCTCTGCTGTGGCCTGGGAGGGCAGTGGAGGATGGCCCAGGTGCTTGGGCCCTGCACCCACATGGGAGACCAGGAGGAAGCTCCTGGCTCCTGGCTTTGGATCGGCGTAGCTCTGGTCGTAGCAGTCATTTGGAGGTTGGACCAACGGAAGGAAGACCTTTCTCTCTGTCTCTCTCTCTCACTGTCTATAACTCTACCTGTCAAATAAATATGAAAAAAAAAAAAGCAAATTGCTTTGTATGAGATTTCAGAGTATAATAATAGCAGTTTACTTTTTTTAAAAGATTTATTTATTTTTATTTGAAAGAGAGAGGAGCTTCTTCCTGGTCTCCCCTGTGGGTGCAGGGGCCCAAGGAGTTGGGCCATCTTCTGCTTTCCCAGGCCATAGCAGAGAGCTGGACAGGAAGTGGAGCAGCCAGGACTTGAACCGGCGCCCATATAGGATGCTGGTGCTTCAGGCCAGGGCTATTAACCCACTGTGCCACAGCACCAGCCCCTAGCAGTTGACTTGCAAAGCAATCATGGAGAGCAAATACTGCTTCTCAATCCATTAGTTCATTTATAAGATTTAATAATTCAGACCACCTTAACCAAACCAAGCCACCGCTCTCTTTCCAGCTCGCGGAAACAGAATGCTGTTTTTGTCCCCATTCAGGGACACGAGGAAGAAAATCTCCACAGGAAACAGTTCCTTGCGTGGGCCCCGTCTGTGCACTCCAACTACCCCAGTAGTCAGTTTTGTGTCTGAAACTTGTACCTTAAAAATGAACAGGCATCTAGCGCTGCAGCGCAGCGGGTTAACACCCTGGCCTGAAGCACTGGCATCCCATATGGGCACCAGTTCAAGACCTGGCTGTTCCTCTTCCCATCCAGCTCTCTGCTATGGCCTGGGAAAGCAGTAGAAGATGGCCCAAGTCCTTGGGCCCCTGCACCCACGTGGGAGACTGGGAGGAGGCTCCTGACTCCTGGCTTGGGATCGGCGCAGCTCCAGACAATTGGAGAGTGAACCATAGGATGGAGGACCCCTCTCCCTCTCTGCCTCTCCTCTCTCTGTATATCTCTGACTTTGAAAGAGTTACAGAGAGAGGTAGAGAGAGAGAGAGGTCTTCCAACCACTGGTTCACTCCCCAGATGGCAGCAACGGCCAGAGCTGATCCAAAGCCAGGAGCTTCTTCCGGGTCTCCCACGTGGGTGCAGGGGCCCAAGCACTTGGACCATCTTCTACTGCTATCCCAGGCCACAGCAGAGAGCTGGATCGGAAGAGGAGCAGCCAGGACTAGAACCAGTGCCCATATGGGATGCCGGCGCTTCAGGCCAGGGCTTTAACCCACTGCGCCACAGCGCCACCCCCAAATAAATAAATCTTTAAAAAAGAAATGAACAGCCTATTCCCAAACAAGCCCTTCAAATGGCAGCAAGCAAAGCCAGTTGGTTGCCAGAGACATGGAAAGGGGCGTGTTGGCAAACCTGAGGTCACCTGGTGACCTTTTTGGCAGAACCAAAAGTGGCCAGCACTCAGGGTT